CCTGGGGCAGGAGGCGGCAGGGCCTGCGCCGGGTACAGGCCGTTGCGTGCGGTCCCTCCAGGGAGCAGGTGATTCGTGGAGGAGCCAGGGCCGCGCTCGGCCCTGGAGTGGGTTAGAGTGGCCTGTCCTGGTCCCCTTGGCCTCTGAGGGGGTCACAGTTTGCTGAGCGTGAAACTTGAAGTTTCTCAGTATTTGTTAGTTGACAGGGTGCCTGTATTAGCCTCACTGAGGGTTGTTTCTCTCTCCTTCCTAAAACCTTCTCCCTTCCAAGGAGTCCAACATGGAAGAATCTAACGACTCAAGGCCGCTTGAAAAGTCACTCCATAACTTAACGCTTTCTGATCAGAAGTCTTCAGAGAGCAGCAGTTCTTTGGCTGCTGATCCCAAAGAGACGCAGAATCCTAAAAACACGGAGAGTGGGTGCATGTCGTCTTCAGCCACGGAGCCCCCAGCAGCAGATGAGAGCTTCCATGACTGTTATGACTCCTTTGAGGCAAAAGAACCCAAAGCGGATGATGAAGGGGATTCACAGAGTGATGAGAATAGCTCAAGGAAGCAGACAGAGCTAGATGAAGAGTACTTACTAGAACTAGAAAAAGATATGCCAGAGGAAGAAAAACAGGTAATACAAAGCACTGAAGTTGACTATAAAAAGACACATTTTCAATGTCACCCTTTTGGATGGTCTGTGACCCTTCTGGCATAAAAGTTAGCATGTAACTAGGCCTTTAAAACTTTTTCATATGCCCTATTTTACTGTTCTTAATTTTTTGGTTTTCGTAACGAGTATTTTAGTTAGCCTTTCTGTTCATAAGATTCCTTTGGGGATTTTTTTTTTATGTGCTGCTGGGCTCACCAGTGTATAGTTACTGTGACCAAAAGAGATTATGAAACAAAAATCGGCTTGTTTATTGTTTAGCTTGTGTGTGTTCATTGTTTTCCCCTGATTTGCTGCAAAGTGCTTTACAGAAACTCAGAGGAGGTTTCAGGCAGTTAGTTTTGACATTTGAAAGGCTTGTTTATGTAACAGTTTCAACTTTAACCCAAATTAGCTCATTTTAGATTAATAAGGATTTAAAACATTTTAAACATGTAAATGTTTAGTGGGGGTGTTTTGTTTGTTTTTTGCTTGCTTTGAGTGCCATTGTGTTGCAGAAAACATGGGATAACAAACTGAATATTGTGATGGGGAGGAATGGTGCAGCTCAGAGAGGAAGTCCAGTAGCCTCCTTGATCCTTTCTCCTTTCCCATAAGTCTTGGAGTGAATCAGGGAATTCCTTGGCCCTGAATCAGTACTGCTAAGTGACAGTAGTTTGTTTTTAGAATTCCAAGATAGATATGGTCACCTTGTATTTACCAGGAGGAAAAAAAAAAAAAAAAAAGACCTTCTAACTTTGAGAAAACTTACAAGTCAGTTTCAGCTGTATGTTTCCCTTTTCTATTTTTTTCTGCAACTTGTGTTCACAAATGTAGGGGAAGTAAGAACAATAAACTAAAATGCACTTCCTGATGCACCATTGTTGTTAAAATATTTTTTTCCCTAACTTCTGACCGCGGTATTTCTGGTAAGTTAGGAGGAACAGAATTACATAGTGTGGTCTCTCAAACAGATTGTGCTTCAAAGAACTGATTCAGCCTCTTAGAATTTCTTTGGATTATCTAAACAAGCAGCTAATTGTAGTTAAAATATTGATGAAAGTGCTGCAAGAGCTGTTCTTCAGAGGTTGGTGAAAGGAGGAATTCTGGCCTTTTGTAACTTGTGTAACAGAAGATGTCAGCATATTTTATTATACTGTAAAAGTGTGAATTAGATCTTATTTTAATAAAAGAAAGAGTCGTTATTGGAAGCCTGGCTGCATAATTTGGATCATAGGTAGCACCTTGTGTCATTGATTGTGATCAGTAAAGGAGAGAATTGCACAAGGAATAGCAACTGACTAATAGGCAGGGAAGCCTTACCTCACAGGGAAAGGCAATGTGTTGTATAGTTGTTTTCTGGAAACTCCTATGTTTTGAGGAACAGTAGAAGAAATAACTACTGCAGTGGATAGTGAACAAAATTGAAGATTTTGGTTTAAAATTAAGAAGGATCATATGAAATCAATTTTTAAAAGTACATAAGATGCTATGAGTATTCCTAGTGATTCTTTAGTTAATTTTCAGTAGATCTATAGGAGTTTATTAGTTTATTTGCAAAGGATCACTTCTTATTCATCCAAGTTGGAAAAGCTGTACAGTTTTTTTTTTTTTCATAGCTATTGGCTAGTCCAGTCTGTAGTGGAAGTAAATAAATACTGGCTATCCATTGCACCAGAAAGCTGGAAGGAGGGAAAGGCTTGGAAGTAACTTTGTTATGCCTTGATTTTATTGTCAGCTGCCATAAATCGAGCATGATGAGCCAGAAATATGCAGAGCATAGATCCAAGAGGCAACTGAAATCTAAACTGTAGATTTTTTTTTTTTTTTTGCACTGATTTATAATTAAGTAGTTGCCCAAGTAGTTCCCTTGATAGTAGGGTGTTCTTATGATCAAAGTACATCAGTGAAGGTAAAGGTAATTTTTTACCCGTATTATGGATAGTCACACTAACACAGAAATTTATTGAGATTGAAAAGCAGTATGGCATTTGGAGGGGGAGGGGAAGATATTAAATCCTTGCAATAAGACTGAGACTAAATGTAACACTTGTTTGCTGCTTGACCTTATGGAAATCACCTCATCCATATCTCACTTTTTCCATCTGTATAAATGGGCATAATGATACTTGCCATTTGTAGTGCGTTGGTATCTAATAATGAATAACCGGGGAAAAAAAAAATCTCAAGAGGTTATCTGGTGCATCCTTTGCCTCAAGGCAGAATCAGCCGTACTGATGTCACTTCTGACACATGTCCCTTGTTATTAAGGACCTCCAGTGACTGACTGCCTACACAAATTATTCAAGTATTTTGCCATCCTTGCCCTTATAAAGCTTATACTTGGCCTATTCATTAATCGTGCAGGAAGGGGGAACCTTCTACATAAGTAGAATCAGAGTAACTTAGGCTGGAAGGGTCATCTAGACCAGTACTCTGCTCAGGGGTAGATCAGCTGGATCAGGTTTTCCGGAGCTGTGTTTCAGTGTTGAGCATGCGCTGTTCTGATGTTTAACTACCCTGATAGCAAAAGCCTTTTTCCTTGTATGTAATCTGAATTTCCTTTATTGCAACTTATGATGGTTGGTCCTTATCCTTGTTCTGCATGCCTATAGGAAGTCTAGCTCAGTCGTTTTCTAACTGTAGTACTTTCCCTGAGCTCTGACAAACTCAGTTCTCCTAGGCCTGTGTTAGTGTCATCATAACTGTTATTATCTTGGCAATATTTTTTACTGTGAAATTTGTGGGTCATAGTGTATATATACAGTCTTAAAAAACAGCTAGTTTCCCTCTAACAAAATATTGTTGGTATCTGTCATATGCAGAGCTCAAGAAGTCTACAGATAAAAGATGAATGAGAAGCTAACAGCAGTTATAATAACTGCTGCAATAACCCATATGCATATTCTTGTTTGCATCATCTTATATGCTCTTTTTAGAACCAGGGTGATCGGTTATTCCTGCATTTGAACTCTAGCTTACCTTTAAATTGATGTCTACAAATTTTGTTTCATTTTTAAAAATGAAATTTTCTATATTTTCTGCAGGTTCTAAGGAAATGTACTGCAGTTCTGTTCCAAGTACAGTTTCTGTACATCTATTTATCCAGAGTTCTTCAAACACTTTTAACCTCCTTCTTGTTACTCAAAAGGTTACTTCTGAGATGAAGGGTAGCATGATTTTTTTTCTCAGCTGGAGCTAATAAGACTGAGTACACAGAGCTTGCTTATTTGGCTGTGTGGGCTGTGATGAGATGCTCAGCAGCGGTGCTGAGGTGGTGGCTCAGGTGGTGCTTGTTCTGTCCTCAGCCCCTGCAGCCTCCTCTGTTGTGCTAGCCCCTGTGTGTGCCAGTGTGCAGGGAACCAGCCATGGGCACTGATTCAGACAAAAAATAATGCTGTATTTTCAGATCAAGGACATTGCTGCCTAAAGTACATATCAAAGGGCAGCCTCATGATGGCATTTATTTGCAGTGTAGATGGATTTTCTTCAATTAGATTACTTGCCCAAGTAAGAAAAACCTTATATGAACTGTGGTTTCAGCAACAAACCTAAGCTATGTACTTGGCTCACCCAGCTCAGTAATAGCCTGGCTCTGTCTAAAAGATGGAGCCACACCTCTGCTGTATTTTTTTTAAAACTAAGACCACAGTTGCATTTTAACTGTTGCATTTAGATTAGTGTTCTTGAGTTTTCAGATAGTGAAGCTGTAGAAAAGAAAGATTTCCCAATTTATTCTGAAGGTGCAAGGGCAGATTTTAGTGCTCACTCTGTGTTTATGTGTATCCATGCACAGGCTTTCACAGCAGCAGCTCACTGCAGAAATTCTCACCCACGCAGAAGCTGCTAGAGATGAAAGGGAAGGAGCAATTGGTTGTATATTTTCTTTCAATTATAATTTCATAGCCATATACAGTAGCGATGAAGAATTGCTTCCGGGGAAATGATGCCATAAGAAATGAAGTCTCCTTGTACAAAGAAGTAAAATGAAACCTTGAAGAGTTTATTAGGATATAGACCTGCTATAAATATTCTGAAGAAACAGATGCAGCAAAACAAGAGGCATGTTACTTGCCCAGACTTACAATTCTGAGCTTTTTAACAACTGTGCAGCTTCAAAGAAAACTCGTTTTCATAAGTGTTTTTTTTTTTTTTTTTTTTAAACATGCTGATTGCTGCTTCAGCAGCAGAGGCACTGAGCAGTAAATTGCTTCTGATGCATTGCAAACAGATTTTCTGGTTAGCAGCCATTGACAGTGATGGCTTTGACGTTGCTCTAGTCTGCAGAATTAATCAGAAGACACCCAACAGCTGTTACATGGGTAATTGTTTCAGTCTGACCCAGCCCTCTTCTGGAGGGACAGCCATTAATTATGAGTTTATCCCGCAACAAGATTCTGAATCCCTCATGCTATTCCATCATGACAGATGTTGTCTTGTTCTTTGGACCTTGCAGGGCAAAGAGTTAAGCTCCAGAAGAGCCTAAGAAATCTTTTGTGTTTGACATAGTACCTTCCTTTCTAGCTGATAAAACACCCTGGAGTAAATAGCTAATACTCCTCAAAAGCAGCTCCCTTTCATGGTCTGTTGCATGTGCTTTGGAGCTGCAGCTGGCTGAAGTTCTGCTCAACTTCTATCCTAACTCTGGGAAATGTGTCTGTGAGAGAAGGAACAGGGGTCTAGTAAAGGAGACTCTTTGTTAGTGTCTCCTTAGTACTGTTAAAAAAATAAGTGAAACTGCTTACTGAGCACTAGCAAACCTTTCTTAATTACACCTGTGATATTGTGCCCAAGATATTTTTCCTGAACTAAAGAGAGTAAATTTTCCTGTTTTTTCAGAGGTTCTAGAATGTGTTGGAGAACAACCTTACCCTCCTCAAGAAACTTCTTTTAAAGTGTTCCCCTCTTCAAGCTTTACAAATCCACCCACCATACTTCGGGCTGATCACATTGTTCTTCCATAAATTGCATTTTCTGTTTAGAAA